GTGCCAACCTGCTCGTTGAGCCCCTCCTGTGGAATGCCCAGCTGGAGGTGCCAATGGCAGAGGGGCCCCAGTTGCGACAGAGGTTGATACTGGATGGTGTCACACACATTGGAGACGTCCTGGACGACAATAAGCAAAAGTGGGTGGACCCCGCTGCACTGGCCCAGCACATGGGTCTACCCATGATGCGCGCAACCTGCCATCTGGTCCAGGAGGTGAAATCTGCCCTACTTCCTGACGCCCTTGCCTTTGTTGACCAGGTCCTGGGACAAGTACTGGCAGCATACCTTGTGACTTCGCTACTTGTTCCCGGAGAATGCCCATACCACGTGTGCTTTCTCACGCGGCAAGTTGCCCTGGGTGACATAAGGGAGGCCTGGGCCAACACTGGGCTAGCTCCAGTAGGCTTACCTGAGGGCTTCCTGGGGCTGCAGCCACGGCAATTCTGCCGTGGGGAGCCTGGCTGGGCTCCGGGCAGCCCATCTCCTTTTCAGCAGCACACGCTGGTCGAGTGTGCATTGCTCCGGGGTTTTTTCCAGTTTTTTTGTTTGTTTGTTTGTTTTTGTTGACCCCTGGATATCCAGGGATCAAAAAAAAATATGGAAAAAAACCTGGTGCAGCACACACTCAGGTAGAACACCCTTGCAGCATGGAGAACACCTGACTATGTGGCACTGGAAATGTGTTTGCAGCATCACCTACTGCATGACTATGCTCATCTGCATGTGGCCATAGTTTCTATGAGAGCTTTGGGAGTGTGCTAGATAAGGTACATCACATTCTCTGATAGAAGTGCTACAATCTATGGATCCTGATGCTTGTGTTTATAGATGTGTTGATTGTAGTAACAATGGAGAGTGTTGGCAGGTTTCGCATTTGTTGTTTAGACTGGGAGGTGGGGGATCAATGAGGAGCTTACTTGAAAAGAATGGCATCTTGAGAGAGATTTTCACACCCCCCACCCGACCACCTGGCTTTCAAACAACCCCAAACCTTGCCTAACTCTTCATCAGAAGCAAACTCCTCTAAACTACAATTTAAGTTACTATGGGTGCCTGTACATGAGTTGGATGGCTGCAGGAGTATGGTAATTACATTAATAATGTAACATAAATTACATAATAATGTGATGAGACAGTCTGGGATTCTGTAAGATTGAACACCGGGCGCTAAATATCCTGTTATTATCGAGGCCATTTAGGATATTGAGTTCAAATGACTTTGTAAATTGTGAGAATAACTTCTGCACACCTTTCTCTCTATAGATGTGTGCGTCACATCTTGTATCATTACAGAACATAAGGGTTTCCATGCCCCTCGCTTGGTAGTCTGCTAACGTTTCAATTTTCGCATGGCACTTCCTCATTTTTAGTAAATAGCAAGACGCCCAGTTTGGGGTGGGGCAGGTTGGTTTCACTGGAACTCACAACTGCCTCATTAAAAGCGTAAAGCTTGTTACTTCCCCAGCAACTATTATCTGGGACCAACTATCTTCTACTTCCCTTTTCAGGACATTTTTATCACAGAGGAAAGGAAGAGACGGATATTCCCTGGGCCATAAGATACAATGTCCTAGTGCAAGGAGAACACACCCATGCATGAGCAAGCACTATGGCACCAAACTAGATGCACAATGCACATTCCTCACATCAGCTTTTTTAGGATTTTGTTTTTCCGACCATGACCCCATGTTCATCCATTTGCACTGATTTTTCCATTCTGCTTACGAGACTGTCCTGTGTATGCTCACATGGAGCTCTTCCCTTCCCACTCTGTGAAACAAGTCTGGATTTGAAAAACAGAACCTGAATAATCACAATTCCCTTAAGCAGAAGTAAGAGAAGTAATTTTTTTAACATGCCCCAGACCAAAGAATCCATATTCTATTTGCCTTATGAAAAGGAAGAGTACAGGCTTCTTAGGCCCAATTTAAACTGTTCCCCGTGATTATAAACGCCACAGCACATGATAATGCTTCTTCTTTAGCAAGGAGTTTTAATTCTTACCACAGGTACTTGCAAGGTTACATTTGGCAATATGGTGCTACACACATTGTTGGTGGATCCTTTTTTAGAATCACATTACATCAGCTCAGCATAAGCATTTTTCTGTTGGTTTTTTCTTTTTTTATCCTCACCAAATGAAAACATTTTAAATTCAAAAATGTTTTGTTTGACCCCACAAATCAAAGTTTTGGCAATACTGAAACAACTCACCGTTGAAATATTACAATGAATTGTTGCAACATTCGTGAAGTACTGTCGCTTTTTCAACTGGAACTTTGGAACATTTACTCCAAAGGCACCAATACTCTTGACAACCTAGACATTGCAGTTTTCTGGATAATAATAAATGCTTTTCTGGAAAAAAAAAACATAATTCACCTAGCTTTGTGTGCCCTTCACCACCTCTCCCCACCACCAAAAAAGGGCTTTCACTGCATGCTCAGCTAACGAAGTCTTAGATTAAGCAGGTTTGCCAAGCTTAATTAAAATTTATCTTCCTTTTAACTCTCTTGACTGACTTGAAAACAGGATCACTAAAATCGGTGTGCCCGTCATCTCTTTCTATACAACTGCCACTAATTGTACTCATATTCTAATTAAATCAGGCAAACCCACTCTGATATTGAAGAATAAGTGCCTCTAGACCACAATAACCAACAAAAGGCTCTTCAGAGCAGACTGGCAAACTCAATAAAGCAAAAAAAATATACCTGACCTCAGTCTAACACATAAAGCCATCAAAGGGACAGTGCCAGAGTGGTTGGCTTTGATCAGGGGCAGGCAATTATTTTGCCTGGAGGGCCACTTAATGAGTTTTGGTGAGCTCTTGAGGGCTGCAAGGGTGGTTCTGCTCCACCCCCCACCCCCTGATGACTATCTCGGGACTGGAAATCCCACCCCTAACCTTAACCTTTGCCACTGGAAGTCCCTCCCCTGGAAGTACTCCTTTTGGGAAGGGGGTTTGCCACCTTTTTAACTGAAAAAACCCCCAAATCATATACTAAAAGTGAAACATCTGTAATAATATATTTTATTTAAAAAAAATATTTTGTCCTAATTTGTGTGCATTTGTGCTGTATATATACAAGTGATTGCATAATAGCTCAAAATGAAGTCTTACTCTTGTATATTGTGGGGGCTGTAAGGGGGTACAGGTGGGTGGGCATGGGGTTTGTGGGTGTGTGTATGTGGCTGCATGCGTGTGTGGGGTTGGTTATATGTGGATGTGTGTGGGTGGGTATGGGGGGTTTGTAGGGATGTGTGTGGGTATGGGGTTTGTGGGGGGTTGTGGGGTGCATGGAGGGGGGAAGGTAGCTGGGGTTGTGTAGGTGCATGTGTGGTGTGTGCATGCAGCAGCGAGCAGAGCTCCCCGCAGAGTTGTGTGGCTGTTTCTGTGGTGGGGCTGCAGTGTTTGTGGGGTGTGTGATTGTGTGTGAGGGAGGGTGTGGTTGTGGGGTTTGTGGGTGGGGGAGGGTTTGGGGGTATGTGAGGTGTGCACGGGACCCCAGAGATGGAGCCGCATGGCAGCCTGGCGCAGTGCGCACACTCTGGGCGGCTGCACCAAAAACTGGTGGTGGCAATGAGGAGGGGCTGCTTTTCCCCCATGCCAAGGACCAGTTTCTGCCCGGCAATGCCACTGCAGCTGCTACTCAGTCCAGAGGGGCGAGCCTGGAGCCGGTGCTGGGACCCAGGCCCAGCAGTGGCAGCATGGGAGAGAAACTGCTGCTCAGCATGGGGCAAAAGCAAGTGGGCAAAAAAAGAGATTTAAGGACACCTTGAAGGCCAATCAGAAGAAATGCGATATTAACATCAATACCTGGGAGAGACTAGCACTGAATCCTCCCCGATGGTTTCATGAAGTATGACTCATGTCACCAAGGAGGCAGAGAGAAAAGAGAGACAAAGGGAAA